ATGTTGACATAAAACATACAACATTCCCTTCGACAAATCATTTAGCTCTGTACTCAAATACTCTATGCTCATTGCAACGTGGCGTGCTAAACGTGTTTGGTCATCTCAAGTGAGCGTGTACACATGTATACACAGGTTTACGTTTGTCGGTGAGATTGATGTACTATTTCCAAATCTATAAAAACTTGAAACAAATGAATGATTTGAAATAATTTCGGCATCCAAAACGACCCATGCTGCTCTAACCAATTGAGCTACCGTGTCTAAATCTCAGTAGAAACAAAAATAAAGCGGGCAAGTCTTAAACTACGAACAAAAACTTTTATACTGTTTTTTTTTATAGTGAACCCGAGCCTTTAGCGCTGTCGACGTATTTAGGCTTTAGATATTCTTATAATATCCACAAACGGAAACCGAAACGTGATTAAACTTCATGGCTTTTTCATCCGTAGACAATGGTTCGTGACCCGGACGGAATTTTGATATTCCTAACACCGATTTAATATCCAGATCCAGACGAAGCCCAACATATTTCAGAAAAAATATAAATTGAATACAAAAATGTTGAACCCGGTGGGGATTGAAGCCACGACCCGTTGTTTATTAGGCGTACATTGCTACAATGGCACCAATGAGCCCGTCAAAGTGTTTAACTATGCCTTGTCGTCGATGTTTTTCTTTGAAAATGAGCCATCGCATGCAAAGTAACATGTAATAAGGGGAATCTATCAAGGCTTTAATGAATGATATACTTTTGCACTTCAGACCTAGATACGTGAGAATAAATTGGTATCGAAAAGGAATAATGGCTCTAAGATGATATTTGGAACGCTGCCATGATTTTCAGTTACAAAGAAGGCCTAGCAAGGTAGGAAAGTAGATAAAAGAGATAAAACATGTCGAAACTTGGCAAGAATTATTCGAGATTTTCAATAGTAGGTACATTTCATAAATTTTACAGCTGTTGGTTGGTAACCTGCTCTTTAAAGTACTAAAATGCCTTAAATCATGAGTGGGATACCTTAGCTTGAGCCTTATATGTTTTAAAAATAATAATTAGGTAATTAATAATTTTGGCTCAAAATGCGTTAAGTCGCCATTTTTTGAACATGGCGGCGCGGCAATATAATTCACAAGCTGAGTCAGCGACTTCGTCCGCGTAGAATAGTTATTTTGGGCATCCAAAATTGTTTTTGCAAATTGTTACCTACGTCATCGGGCGCGTCCCATCGGCCGGTTCCCGTCGTTCTTGCGAGTTCATCTTAAGAGATAGACATATACTGTCGCGGACATTTTTTGTGATAATTTAAAAAAGAATCATTTTCTCATACATATTTTTTGTGTATCATGAACCATTTTCGCAACGGAAACCTTCAAAGATGAATGGTTGGTTGAATTCGATGAGTACTTCCTGAGATTAGCGCGTTAAAAGAAACACACTCAGCAACTTTATAATATTAGTGTAGAGATTATTAAGCAAGATAAGTGTTTCTAATTCTAAGCCTTACTCACTTTTACCAGACTCACACACTTCTACTAGATGACTACTAGTTCTCGTATTATTAATACGTTCAATCCGTTTGGATACGGATACACGGATGGGTCGACCCTTGTCAAGGTGCGTGTGGCATTTCAGCTCTAGCCCATACCTGCGTTCGATAAGAGCTCTGATTGATATGTCAATTTGGCCCAATCACTTGGCCGTTTCTGTTGAGTTTTTAGATGATTTATGTGCGCAAAAACTTAGTAAAACTAAAGAAATATATTTTTTGTAACAAGATTAAGAATGTTATCAGTTTCACTTCATAGAAGGTGATAAGTTCTAGTTTTATACCTAGTTGTATTTTTATACACAATAATTTCATAGATTGAAGCCGTTTAGCTTTCATGATATTTTCATGTGTGGTTCGAATTCGATACTCCTACCGATTTCCCATTTCCAGCAATCTATACTAATATATATAATAATGTCCAAAAGTTTGTTTTTTTCAATGCCCTAATTTCAGGAACTACTGATTCGAATTCTTTTCGTGTTATAAGACCATTTATTGAAGAAAAATTTCAAATCACGCTGCGACCAATAGAATACTAATAGAATATAAGCGAAGAAAAGTAGAAAATGTGAAAAAAGTGAAAAGAAAACAGTTAAAAAAATGTAGTATAGACGACATGTCTATGTTTTAAGAACCGATTTTATTATAAACAAATGTGGTCGAAGTTAATGAATTACCCATAATTTATGAGTTGTATCAACATAATATTATTACTTACTTACAATAAGTACTAGAAATATTTTAGGTACTCGAGTATGGTGTCTTGTTTTTGGTTCATACCATTTTTTACAGAACAGGATAAAAAACTGTAATCCCGTTCTCCCTGAGTGGAGCGAGGAATTTTATGTCCTGCACGACCAAAACTACATACATACATTTACATAATCATATTTAACATCTCGCTGTAATCACAAAGTTAGGCGGCGTGTTTATCAATCACTCGCGGAGGTTATAAATCATTAAAGCAAAAGTGTTTATATAATAAATAGCACTCTGTAATCTGCAAATCAGGCTTGTAATTTGACATAACAGAGCGAATCAAAGTACATCAATGTCACAATAAAGGTGCGATTCGGTAAGTAATTTCACCTGTCATTGGCGTGGCAAATGTTGTGTTGCTTAAATTGTATTTTCAAGTTCCGTATATCAACATTCTAGAAGGATCTATTTAAATAAAATACTCTTGACAGTTAAAAACGCGAAATATATTAGTTGTACACTAAGCTAATTAATTTCGCGTTTTAAAACCGTTATATAGATAAATGTGTATTAGTTGTGGAAACTATGTACAGTATCTAAGTACGGTGACTTAAAAATCGGAAGAAGATTGGCTGATGAAAACGTAGAAATAATGCCATTTGTCTAATAGCAGATATAGCATTTAGCGTGTCGAAGCACATTTTGCGACCATACGCCAGAAAATCATTACAGACTATGAAAAAAATTTACTCACGTCGTATAGTTACGACGTGAGTGACAAATTTGTCGCCAGTGCAGTTTTAACGCTCACGCACTATATTTTGATCTTTGTAGTCCTTTTCCTGTTGTGTTTTTACATCTATCACTTAATATAAAACAAAACAAACGAGCTTAGTTATAACCGTTAGATAATATAACTATTTCTAGAAATTTCCAATTCATACTTGAAGCGAATTGATCTCTAGCGTTGGTTAAAGCTTCGAGTATAAAGCGAATTATTTTGACTTCACTTAGAGCATATTGAGGAAACTTGCAGAATGGATAATATTCCGCTTGAATACATAAAGCCACTTCTTTTAAGTTTTAATACCTTGGGTCGTGCGAACATACACATTTTAAAAGCCAAGTCAAGTCATAAATTACGTTGCTTATATATAATACCAACGGTATTTACTTTCTACGCGAGCACAGTTTTGTATGCAGTCAGAATGTTTTCCAAGGACATTCCTATGTCAGAGTTGGCGTTTATGGTATCTGTGTTTTTTATAATAATACAAGGTAGGTTTTAGGCAGTGTGCCAACCGTTTTATCCGGGCCATTTCATCTCTACAAGTCAACGGTTATTTGACGATCGGGACACTAAAGTTCGTGCATATCTCTCTCATAACAATTATTATTATAGAGATGTTTTCCTGTATTCCCTTATCGAATATAACGGAGATGTATTCAAAACAAGTCGATAGGCTCGTCGATCTGATGGTGGCAATGTATGGTTAATAATCAACGGCTCGTGGGCCCGATCCCCACCTGGTCCAACATCTTTCTCAATTTTCAGTTTATTTTTTTTCTGAAACAAGTTGGACTTCATCCGGGTCACGAGCCAACGCCCACAAATGAAAAAGCGTGCTTCGGTTTCAGTCTGTGGATTTCCGAATATCCAAAGTTTTTTGCTTTAGACACTCTAAGAGACCGACAGCTTATGTAGATGTTATGTGTAGTAGTAGTAGTATGTGTGTATATGTATGTGTAGATGTTAACCTAGCCAAGGTTGTTTCACCTCCTATCAAGTGAATCTCATACTTGTCTCTCCTCTATCATGAAAAAAACGGTATTAACATTTATTAATACAGTTAAATGACGTTTTACGCGCACACATTTCAGTTTCCTTGTGTGATCGGTTTTAATTACGGGCCCAATCCAAACAATCTATGGCTTAAATACTGTCTATAGTTTACGCGAGTAGTACACATTTAAATAAAACACTTTAACGATTTAAAACGCGATATATTAGTTAAACTTATTTGAAAATGATTTTTAACGAGACACCACGGCTGCTGCAAAGCATCCGAAACGTCGGGCCGAAGTTAAAAATCATTTTCAAATAAGTTTAACTAATATATCGCGTTTTAAACCGTTAAAGTGTTTTATTTAAATCTATGGCTTCCGCAATATTCGAACCTATACTTAACGCAAACTTAATATATACATAGGTACATTCTTAAATGTAATAACTTATATATGTATTATTTGAGTGTATATAATTAGGCTTACGATATTTTTTACAGTTTCACTTAAATATGCAATTTTAGTTGAGAAAAAGGAAGCGCTGATTAAATTTATAAAACACCTTGGCCTATCTTGGAGAACAGAAAAATTAAGTGAGGAACAAATTCTTAAAAGAAAATTTATATTAGACAGGTTAAACTTTTGTTTAAAAGGTGGGTAATACAATGCGATATTGCTGCATTAAAAAAAAAGATCTACAAGTTCATATACCTTTATTTATTTAATTTTAAAGCATTTTAATATAATATTTTTAATAACTTGTAATATTGAAGTTGTTGCAATTCATTGTTGTACTTAACTGTATTTTGATTGCAAATAAACGCGCTTAAACGACGTCGATCGATCGACGAGGGTTATCTTAGGATGATAAGATTAAGATCGAATGACATTAGTGGGTTATTCAATTAAGGTGTACTTTTAGTGTTTTACTGGGGCAGTGTTTTACCAGCTTGGAACGTGTTAATGGCGCCAGCACTTGTTACTTTCGCCAAATTTTGCTTAGGACAAGACACGACGTACTTATTACCTTTTGGTTTTGTATTGCCTTTTGATCCCCTTAACCACTGGGTTCGGTATATCGCGGTGTATTCTTTTCAAGTATATTCAAGTAAGTAATGAAAACAAGAAATGTAAATATTGTAATCTATATCTATGCTAATATTGTGAAGCTGAAGAGTTTGTTTTGACATCCTGGTCAGGAAACACTGGTTCGAATTTTTTTTTTTTTCGTGTTGGTTGAACCACTTATAAAAGAAGTGTGTAAAAAATCAGGCTGCGACTAAACGAAGGGAAATGTACAAATAAACGGGAAAACTAGTCTGAAAGAATGATTATTTCCTAAATGATCTAATATATTATGTCTGTGATAGTAAAGGAGTATCGCTTAAGATAACTCGGAAGAATGACGGGACACGGACGAGTCAAAATCAATAAAGTAAAAACTGAGGTTGTTATGGATAATATGATGAATGAAACCGCGAGCACAGCTAGTCAAATATAATTGTTAAGGTCCACTCGCCATAATATTGCTCCAGGTCACTGACAGAGATATTCAAATTCCTGAATTGTCTATTTCCAATTTTAACAACAACATTAAAATCATTGTTATATTATAATTTTTATTCTTACGCATGTAAAATTATCTAATTGTTTTCTCTCCCTGATTGTGTTTCTCAGAGATCATAGGTATTGTTATGATAGACGAGTGTAGCTAAAAATAATGAGAATTTATTACAAAACCACCTAAATTCTATTCAATTACAGTGTTTCATTTTGTCTACGTGTTTATTGGGACTCAAACGTTGATGGTTACTCTGTGTGCCTTTTTGACCGCGGAGTTTGGTCTTCTTCAGCACGACTTTGTTCATGTCAACCTAGAACCAGAACAGAATCATTCTACAATCAAGGATTGCGTTCGGAAACATCAGCTTCTCTTGTCGTAAATATAATGTTTGAAAGCTAGAATATTTTTATTAATATGTACATGATGGCACTATATACTATTGAAAAAAAAAATTCGACTCGGGCAGGACTTGAACTGGCATCGTCAGCGTTCCGTGTACGGAGTGTTGGTAGAGCTCGAGTCGAAATGGTGTAGAAGTAATTTTTGATTATTAAATTATTTGTATAATGGTTAAAAAATATCTGGAAGTAAAATAAAACTGGTTAAGTGTGGGAGAACATAGGATCGGATGGCTCTGTACCATCGAGGTACTAATTTTATATTGTAATCTTCTATGAGTAATATGTGCCAGATCGACAATGGGTTACAATAGCAAAAAAGACGATAAGTGTCTATTTCCTTCTTTATTTTTTTCTTTGTCCATTTTATACGTATTTTAGACGCCGGGCGTGCAGCGGTTTATTTATGCCACGGACCACTTGTTACTATCTACCTTAATATTTAAAATAAATGCTTGTATATAACTATAACCTAAAAAAACTAATTAACTTTAATGTTACGCCGTATGGCTTATGCAAGAAATACTCTTTATTTCCTTACTTTTGTCCGGCGCAGATGATAATTTAGAGTATGTTGTCGATTCCATTTTGTTCAAATAATCGGGCTAAAAGCCCATCCCTTTTGCATAAATACGTTACTTTCAAATTGCTATCGCCGTTCTTGAGACATGATTTTTTATCATTTGGTTGGGAAACCGAAAAAATGTGTTATATAAAGTGTTTATTTTTTTCAGATACACAGACATGTTTAATGACATTTTCAATAAAATGTTGTTCATCGACCTACTTTTTGTATCACTAACAGTATGTTTTTTTGCCTTTGCGGCTACTGTAAGTATGGATAGATCTTTATATTCTATAGTTTTAGAGGCAGGACAAAGCCGCAAATCCGTATCAAAAACTATTAGCAATGATCATGACATTGAAGTGAAAATAAGACTAAAGTTTCTATAACAAGTTTTAGATGATCCTAACTTTTAATAATTTAATACAACACGGCTATCTGTCATAGGTGGCGAAAGGAATATTGGAGCTAGTCAATAATTTCGTCGCCGTTATCGCTTTGTTACTTCCTACATTAATATTCTGTTATTACGGGGAACAGCTCAAGGAGGAGGTAATGTATCACTAAAACGAAAGTAAGTTGCATATAAGCAGAGCCCATTATAAGTCAAGTTTTGTGATTCCTCTTTCAGAGTGCTGGCATCGCAGACTCAGCGTACAACAGCAAATGGAATATCGCGAATCTAAAATACAGAAAAAGCATAATTTTTATTATTAAGAGGTGGGTAAAATTAAATAAAACATATAGTGGAATTAGTTAAATCTTCAGTCTCAGTCGCGGAACGCGCAAGATGACGTCCTCCACTGGCGATGGCGAAACGTCGAGAACTATTTCTCAATTACGACGGCTGAACAGCTTTAAAACCTAAGTAGCTTTGCCAAATGGCAGCAAAAGCCTGATAGAATTTAGAAATAATCCAGTTTACAATTATCCAGTAGGCCTTGTTAATGTAGATTTTTTTTTCTAGAGCTCAGAAACCGTCGTGTTTAATGTCCTTGGGCTACGTACCTGTAACACTACACACATTTTCTAGGGTAATTTCTGGTATAATTTTTGTCATATTCAGAGTAAAATTCCTCATGTCAAAGTCTTTATTCCTTACAAACTTTGGTTTCTGATAAGCTTTTGTTATTTGCAGGTAGTAAGCACAGCGTGGTCATATTTTTCACTGATAAGAAGTGTTTACAAAGATATCTAAAGAACCGCACGATGTTTCGTAGAATATAAAGTACCTAATGCATTGGATAACTAATAAATGTTTTTTCAAACATTGCTTTCGACATACGCCTTCATATAAATATTGAGCAAATGAATAAATAATAGTGTAGTCGCTTGAACATAATTTGATTGTGAATTAAATCTGTTCTGCTTTTTTCACGATTCGTTAATTTTATGATTAAATTAATCTGTGAGACATTGAACTGTGGCTTGACATATCTATTTATGATTTGTGTATATCTTTATTATAAAAAATTGTGCGATGTGATGCAAGCGCAAATTTTTCATCATCACAATTACATTATTATGTATACCACTGCAGATCGTTGATAGTATACAAGGATTTGTAAATTCTATGTGGGCGTCTTAGATAAATGATTGGTCTCCATGCCCTACGGCATATTTTCGTCCTAAAAGCGTTAAGACCAAATAAAATTCTAAGGTGGGCGTCATGACGTAGGTATAATACAAGGACAATGTATCTTATTAGTATTCGTAATCAAAGTAAATAAGCAAATGATGGATCACAATTAAAATCGTTACATTTTATTTCGCTTGTAAGGTTTTGTTACATTTATGCTTAACGAAAACTAGGGATAAAAAACTGTAAAATTATAAAGGCATTACTTGACCTCTATAATATTGATAAAAACGGCTGAACACAGAATTGACTAACGGTGTCTTCGCGTTTGCCGGTATGCTGGTTTTTGGGATCCAGAGTTTTTAATATGAGATCCCAGGTGTTTGATAATTTGAGGCCGTCCTCCCTATTGAAATTTCGGTGTTTTTTTTATTTCGATTGCTTCGCGTACCAATCTTGGAGAAAATCGACTCTTCTTTGTGAGGATTTTTGGCTTTTAATAATTTAAGGTGTAGAACGAAAGTTAATCCCATAATTAAATTTCTTAAAAGGCAGTACCGGTAAAACTAGATTAATGTAGAGAAAGTAGAATACGTCTTACGTTTCATACATAGTTATATTTAAAAGAATATATATAGTGTAGAAGCTTTAAAAAATGTATATAAATACTTGACCTAGTAACGTTACCTATAAAACTAATATAAATTAATTAATATGGCTATGTCACCTGGTCCAATATTATCTAATCAATTTAAAAGTTTTCTGAAATATGCTGGACTTCGTGTGGAAAGTATGGATATTAAATTGGTGGTAGGAATATCGAAATTTTGACCGGATCGCGAAAAGCCGTCTACAGGTGAAAAGCCGTCACATTTAATCACGTTTCGAATTCAGTCCGTGGATTTCAGAATATACAAAACCAAATAGGTTGACGCGTAGGGTATATCAGCTTCCATCAGGTACTCATATTTGTCTTTTCTCCTCGACCATATGATACTTTAGTTGGAACACCTTCGTGTTTTTAGATATAGATGCTAAAATAGCCTATGTGACAATAATCTTGTAAAAGCATCTAGTAATACCTAAATACTACTTTACACCTAAATTTCAAGACTCAGTATTCTAAATTAAATTCGTTTAGTAGAAGCATAAATTTCGCACAAAGTAGCGGGTTAGGTACAATGTCGGCAAAGTTTGCCAGCTAATCATATAAGCGATGTCTCATGTGGTTCAGCACAACTTGACGTAAGACATCGCGGTGTAATCAAAGTTTCTTCACTATTTGTAAGCCAGTAGCATTCGTAATTATTATCACCTTACACAAATAATACTTTTTGTAAACAGTATGTTAATGATGATGAAAAATAAAATTATAATGGTCGTTATTATTATTATTAATTAACGCAATATATGCGGTTATAATGAGAATGTGATGTCTGTCGGCATTACAAGTAACTGTATTGTATTAGATACAGTGAGAATATAATTTATATTTTTAATATTGGATGGTAAGTAAATATTCTAGAGATCTAACATCCCAATCTAAAAGCAACGCAAATTTTCACGTATTTTATCTTCGAGGAAATACAGTTTTTAACATTTCTACCATATATCATAAATCAGTGGGAACTCACAACCAGTTGATTATTAGCAAAGCATTGCTACCATTATACCTGTATTTTTTAATGGTATAGGAGGATATACAAGCCCATAGTTCACTTGATAGTAGGTGAAATAACCCCAACGATATCATATAAACAAGGTGCATTGTCGACCTATTTTGGATTAGGATATTTGAAATCTGAAACTCAAACGCTATTGAACTTACACGACACGAACACGACTTAGTCATCTGTAGAATAATACTTCTTTATTGTGTACTTATTTTGTAATCTATTTTACTCGCTATGTTCGGGCAATATTGGATTGGCGAAATTCTATTGTTGAACATTTATTACCTCTCACAAAAACCTAAAACAAACTTTGGAAATCCAACAACTCAACAATATAACGTCATGAACGTAGGTACTTAGATGTTTGCAAAGTTTTTAATGTTATATCTTCATTCTCATCACCTAATAGCTTTCAGGCACACTCTATTAATACAAGGCAAGGGGAGAATATTTGGAGTACATCCAAGGACAGTTGCCGTAATGGTTAAACTGCAAGTGCTTGGCAACAGAGCGTAGGGTGTTAGGACACAGGAACAAAGATGAACTAACTATAAGGTATATAAAGTTACTTACATCTATCTATTAAGTTATTAACACGTTGAGTTTTAACACCCCAATATCTAATAATTCTTACTACAAGGCCTAGAATATCCTATAGTTTTTTTTTATAATTCTTACAGAAATACACGTATACATAGAAACAAACATTAAGCAAAAAAAAGAATAACGTGAATTCTAATTAAAACCATAAACTATGAAAAATTATATAATACTGATTTGACAGTTAACATAACAAAAGACAATATAAAGACCCAAATATAGCAAAAAAATAAATAACTAGGTCACTTATAAAGAGGTGAGGTAAGATTTAATCTTAAGTTCATTTAAAAGTAAGCGATGTGTCAAAATTTATGTCAATGTCAATCTTCGATGACAGTTCATTATAGTTTTTGCATTGTCTGTTTATTACACAATATTTCTAATATTATATAATAAAATTGTCTTTTAATTTCCAAAACAAACCAAAGCAATTTTTAAATTCACAACTTTAATTTGTATAATGTTTATATGATTTTTTTCAACCATTATTTTTTTCCAACTGTAGGCGGACACATTACTATGTACGTCTCCATTAAATCTATCAAAAGAGGCAAAACGTGAAGGTGTCTGCCTGAATCCATAATGATTGTTATCAAAAGGTAGCTTATGTCATAAGTCGCTTAAACTTTTTCGTGTACATCGTCGATCGATATTAACTTTCCTTTATACATAGTATTTTATTCTGGAGTATAGTTGGTTTTGAATACGGTGTTTATTTCCAATTTTGGCTACAAGTAGGCACTTATGTTTATACTGCCGAGACAACTGATAAATTCAAGCTATCACAAAACTGACCTTTGGACATTAGACCACAGCCATTGGCATTATTAATAATGGCCGACCTATTAATAATGCCTCTCTAATCACGTTGCCCGTAACATATAAATCAAATAGTTATTTAAGTGTGGCCAAATAAAAAAGTCTCTATTGAATAGATTAAAAAAGGTATTACGTACAACCAATTTATAATTAGAATTTCTATATTGCTGAGCGTTCGTAACAAAAAAACAGTTGGGGCTTGAGTATAACAGGGGCGTTATTAAAACAACTTTTAATTCTTACAATCCTAGAACTAAAAACCTCCCTACGTGTTAAGCTTTCCAGTCTAAAAGTGGTCTAAATCAATAGTATGTCTTCAGTTGGGAGAAACAAATCGGTAAGTTACTAAAAGTCAAACAACCAAACATTACTCCTCCAGCCATTTGAAATAATAAATAACTTATATTATTCCATACTAATATTTATCTGTTGTACTTATATCTATGTTCTATAAGTTAATATATGCATTATTTATATAATAAGAAAAGTAATTACGTAATATAAACGTAAAAATGAGATCGTCATTTACTTTGTAGATCAACAAATTATACGTCAAATATTTATTCTGATAAGTGAAGATATAACTCGATTATAACCCAATAAATATTGTCACATCATATTAATTTGAATATATTTAGCATTCGTCATCAAATTGGCTTATTATATTTATTATGTAAACTAATTTATTGGCCGACTGTTGTGTATATGACGGTCGCACTTAAATCGAATATAGAGGAAAACTCGGGATGTGAAGGAAACCATACGATATCTTAAATTGTAATAGACAATTACAATCTTAGAATAGCACCCACGCGATGGTGAAAAAAGGAGGCATAAAGTGTACACAAGGACCAAGGTTGCGAAAGACTAGCGCAAATAATATCGGGATAGGATTGGGTGAAGCCTGTGTCTCAGGAAAAACATCTTTAGTTTGTAGAAAAGTTTAAGATTTCAGTTAAAACTTGTAAATAAAACACTTTTAACGTTTTACAATATATTACTTATTTTTACTACGACGCGACCCAATGAAGATTTAAAGGATTCTATATTTATGTATTTGGCCTATATTATGTTTTTTGACCTGCCTGACGTTTACATAACTGTCTTGATTACCTACTATATGACATTAAATATATTCTGCCGGGAGTTTTTGGATCGCGCAGATTCGAAAGTCTACGACAGGATTCATGCTCAAACTCGCCCCTATAAGTATGTAGGTCAAAGTTGACCCTGGCTACTTGCCAGTTATTAACACAAAAGATGAAAATTTAGAGCTCATCGAACATACGGTAGCTAAGTACAAAGTAGCAATGTATAGCTAATAATCAACGGCTCTTGGGTTCGAACTCAATTGAACATGTTTCTAATCAATTTATCCTTTTTCTGAAACATGATTGACTTAGTTTAGTAATCTGGATATTAAATGAGTGGTAGGCATATCAAAAATTCATAAACCAAGAGCCAACAGAAAAGGCGTAAAGTTTTATCGTGTTTTGATGTCAGTCTGTGGATTTCCGAATAACGAAAGCCACGTTCACAACAAGTTCTACAGTGCATCTAGTTTAGGTGTTATATGGCTGAGGTATTTCAATTACCATCAACGTCGTCGTTGCCGTCGATCTATTTCGGCGTATGACATAATAATAAATTTAGTCTTCAAATCTTATTTTAACCAATTATTATGATTGTCTAATATTTGAAGCCTTTACGTTTACACATTAATATTCATATATTTCGTCTACGCTTTAAAACTATTATACATGTTATAGGGACTGTTACGTTGTTACATAAAATTATACAGGTTAGGAGGTCAAATGTAAATTAATAAGTACAATATTCAAGAAAGGTAATAGTTTGGCAGAAAGTTTCTGATTGCCTAGACTATAATTAAGTCTTAAATTTAGTAAGTAGCGTATAACACAGGCAAATAAGATGTTTTCTATATCTACTTTATTTATTATATCTTCTAAGGGAACGAATTTAAATCAATTTCATGAAAAAAGCCAACAATAACCTTAAATTACAAAAACCTTTTTAATAGTTTTTTAGTGTATCTGATCATAAAACCTTAAATTAATAGAAAATTTTATAACACACAAGCTATCATTTATTATTCTTCATCAGAAACGCTGTTGTTTACAATAATTAATGGTTTACCACCAAGACACTTATGTATTGCACGCACGCAATGCCTATTCACTTTCATTAACTTGCTTTGGTCTAATAGTCATGACCAGCTTATTCCCGTTTAAATGATTTCACTCTTTACATCTATCAATAAACAAATCTTTGTAGCCCAACCAATAATAAATAAAGAAACTGAAATTAATGATATTGAACAATATTTTACTGTATCGCGTTTACCTTCGAATTTCCCTTCGAAACTTGGCACCAATATTCACGTTAGTACATAAATGACAAATTCAATATTTACATTTTTAACCATGACCCGTAAGACTAGAACAGTACTCATCACTAAAACTTTTCATCACGGTACATTTATCGGTAAAAACATTTGTGGATCGCCTAATTTAGGTTCAAAACGAATATTAACTTTACTATCGCCGTCACCAACTTCTAAAAAGCTATTCCAGTCTAGCATCCAGTAAAAGCCATTTTTCTTTGGCGGTGGCAGTACTGAATCACCAGGTGTCTCTGGAGCCGGGCCTCCAAATGAATCTTCTAAATCAGATATTGATGCTCCTGCGTCTGACCCAACAGAATCGGATGCGTCACTTTTGTTGTCACTCGTTGCTTCTGAAGTTTTTTTGGCTTCGTCTATTTGCGTGTCATTAGCCTGTCGTTTAGAAGCGTCACTTTCCAATACAGATTTTTCTTGTTCTAAAGGATTAGGACCCGCATTAAGTGGTATTACTTTAACTGATTCATAGTTTATTGGATCATAATTTGGTAGGGATTTTAAACTTGTTTTTGCTTTTCGAACAGGCAAATCTAATGGTAAAACGGTTTCTTTCGACTCTGATGCAGCTACATCAAGTTCAAATGGGAATTCCGGTCGTAAAGGTTCATAAAGAAAGGTACTTTCAGAGTTTTTATTACTCGTCAAGGACTTTAAGTCTGAAGGGGAAATTAAATCATATGTAAGTAAAATATTTTCAGGTAACTGGATATTGCCGTCCACAGTTTTTGCTGGGGGTAAAGGCTTGAATCCATCTAAAGGCAGTAAAAAGTGATCTTTTTCAGGATTCCCTTTCAATCCATGAGCATCTAAAAACGCTTGTAACTCTGCCGGAAAGTCTGATTTAGGTTGACTAGCCACTTTTGCGTTGCTCTTCAAAGTTTCTTTAAGATTTTGGGTAGATTTTGAGGTTTTAATGGGTTTAGGAGTTACTTTTTCTTGAACAACTTCAACACGAGGTGGCCGAGTATACAATTCAAGTAGGGAAGATCCATCTCGAGGGGTGTAGGGGAGAACGACCGTTAACATTTGTGCACTTGATTTGGTAGTACTTTCAACCTTAGAATGTAATTGGCTTTTTGCTGTCGAAGGTTGAGTAGTGGGATTAATTTCATTATCATCCTCAATTTTAAGAATTTTATAAGGAGTGGTCGTTTTGAGGTCTCTAGAAGCCTGTCGCACTTTAAACGTTGTGCTCATTTTTTCATCTTCTTCCTTTATATCATTTAATAGTTGTATTATTTCTTCTCTGCTTAATTTAGGCAAAAGGTCGTTTGATGTAAGTATACTTTGTACTCTCTTCACTGTTTTTTCCACATCTATTGCAGCATCCGCTACTGATGCTAGTAATGCCACTGCTATACAGCACCAAAACAGCTTCATTTTCTGAAAAAAAAAAGAACTTTGTATACCATATAAAATTTAATGATTAGTAAGTAAAATTTAAAAAAAAACGATTTTTTCTGTAACATTTCACTTAAGTCTCGTTTGATTAAAGTTTGTTTTTGCATCGGTTTTTTAATGGTATTATTTGTCTAAAATCTATATCTATTAATCTATATATACAAACTTAAGTTTTGATACTTAGAATGAGTATCTAGACGTATAAGTATAATGAGAAGTAACTTTAATATTCAGTAATTAATATGTATTAGTATTTTTTCACCGTTTGATGTTTTGGGCTCTATGTGTATTAGTCTTGTGGCGTTAGAAATTATTCCTACAACGTTCCTATCTTATTAGCAACAGAGATTTCAATTATATCTTGAATATCGACGTCACGCGATACAACGACCGTCGTTCTCACGCGTCTGTCTTTGACACGAATATAAATTACTTTGTATATTTTGCTTAACTTGTAATACTTTTTTGGTAATTAGTTATACTATTCTTTACTAAATATCATAAGATTAAATAACAAGGTTTTAAATTATTATAAAATAAGGAACCAGCACAACATTATGCATAATCTTGTCTTTGAGCACAAAATTATGTAATAAGATCCACCTGTTTGCACAATGTATTGCGCTTGTAAGTTTTAGGGTCTCCGCACATGAGCTACGGGCTACAAAACACTGCCACCGGAATGCCCTGTAGTTTTTCATAGATTTTGTTCGTACTTGTGGCGGCAACTATCATCAACCGTGTACAGGAACTGCTAGAAATATGCCGATTACAGCGTTTAGTGGCAATGGCCAATAGCATATGTGCGGTTAACTTTATTTTAAAGTTTAAAAAAATTCTCATTTATCTTAGAAATATCCGTGTGGATACAATTTGTCTTTTTTCACGGCAGCCTGTATACATTTTGAATTATACTTATGGATGTACATATACATATAAATTTAATAAAAAGATTCGATAACGAGTGAGTCATAGTAGCCACGTAGTAGTTTTTAATTCATAATGGACAAATATTTTTACAAACTCAAACCATTTATTTCACAAGACAGAATACATAACGTTTTTTCATTAAAATGTTTTAAACAATGCAATAAAATAAGGCTAAGTAGAAGAAATTATTTAAATACACGAGCCAAATAAAATCTAATTTGGATGTGATGTCGGCATATATATATCAGTTTTCGAAATCCACCTTCATCACCATCAGAAATATAAAAAAATATAAGAAACTTGTTGGACTATCAAAATCAAATCTAAGTTTGTTGTGGAATTAGCCGTTACTACCAATAGACGAAAAAAAGCGTAAATTTTTCAAACTGAGTATATAAAAGATGTTCCCTTATTTTTAAATAGAAGCACTAAATAGAAGATCGCAATAGTTTAGCAATTTTCGTGTTGTACCCTGCTATCTATTTGATAAAATATACACTGTGGTGGTATCTACGGCATACAATCAAAAACATGCTAATGAATGTCTAGCTGAATGCTTATTAATTAAATTTACATACAACCTTTCACTTTTATCGCGTAGCTATGTTTTTCGTCATCATTGCCACTCGGTTTGTCTGAAACCCATTGTATGAAGGTAAACGACCGTGTTTACGACAATAAACAATGAGTGAATATAAGAAATCTCATATCCTTCATATTGTCTTTTTTCAGAGCACCTAATATCCGCATTGAGAGGCGGCGTGTCGGTTTACTTGAACGAAAATGGATGTAAATGGTTATTGTATTTCCTTAGATGGGAAATAATACATTTTCCAACAAAGCATAAGCATAGTTTAAGGGTGCTATATAGCTAAGGGCCTCGTACTAACGCGTTAAACTCAGGAACTTCTCCTACAAATGAAAAATCTTTTATTGTGGGTTGAAGAATTTATCAAGAAAGGTATGAAGTACTACAAAATATCAAGCTATGACCAATAGGAGCGAAGACATAGAGGAAAACTTAAAAAAAGGTGAAAATTATTCATCTTTTGAGAGTTTTCTTTGCGGGCGTTGCGAAAACGGTTCAAGATACCTAAAAAATATGTATGAAAAGTTTCTTAAAATTATCTAACCCGAAATACTTCAGAATCAAATCAAAGCAAATTAATCAAATAATTTATTTATGTAGATACACTTACGAACATTAATACAGTTAAAAATTCAAATCCTTTAATGTATATTTACTAAAAGAACATTTGCCAAGTCAGCTAGAGATTAATTAATACTAGAAAATCATCAGCCATATTTCCAAGCCAAGGCTAAAAAGACCTTTACCGTTTTTTGTTTCTATCGTGCATTCACGTCTCTACAGGTATGTTAATTACTTTTAATAATTAAGTATATTTTTTACCGCCGTTCTTATTAGTTAAGATTCGATCGATCTAAGAAATATTTATTAATATAACAACTACTATATCGACTTCTCGACGTACATATATAGTGTACCTACATAGGATTTTTTGTTCAACGTTTTACTTTATAAGACTATACCAAGGATACGTAGCTACTGGGAAGTTTCTATATCTATTAATATTCGTTAAATTATTTTACTTACCCTACTTATACTTACTATCTCAATTATTACCCATGGAGCGGAGAGAAAATTTTTAATACAAAACCATAAACCTTTTTTTCTTATTATAATAGCTATAAACGGCTAAAGCTTTTAAAAAAATACAAATTTAATTTATATTCTTGAACGTTTCCATAATATAATTATTTTCTATCGGGGACACCTATAGAAGGCCGGGTGAACAGTCCACACCATCAGCTGACCATTTCATTTCCTCCTTGCAGAGAGGGTTATTGGATTATCCAACCGTATCACCGTGTCCCTTTCAAACCTTCCGGTGCTTGCAGAATTATACTATTTGTTCCACCTTTATTTCTTTGATGTCATCTTCTGTTACTTCGTCCGATATGCATTTGTTTCGAGTACGCAGATCATATATTATTGCCAAATAGAATAACTATTCGTATTTCAAAATAGACACTTATTCTGTCTTAAAAACTGAATAATACTGCTGTGATAAAGGCACTGCTTCGATTAAAAAGGTTCTCGATAAACACTTTACAAAGCTCCTAATACAAAGCAAATGTATAATTAATGAAAATAAAAAACTACATTAGGGAACGAAATTGCCAATTAGGAAGACGACTGGGATCTTTGTTATTGAAATCATTTCCATTAGCCTCGAAGGTACGAGTCATAATTTGAATTCTTTTGAAAAGTACGGAGTCGAACTATGTGAATACACCAATAACTGGGGTTTTTACCCGACGACGAAGAAGCCAAGACAACGATATTGATTCTTACATTTGTGTTTATCTTATCTGTAGTAATACTAATCCGATTTTAATAAGTGATTTGTCAAATCTATACTAATATATAAAGCCGAAAAGTTTGTTTGAACGCGCTAATCTCAGAAACTGCTGTTTCGAATAGAATTTTTTTTTGTGTTGATTAGAGCATTTATCGATAAAGTTCATAGGCTATAAAACATTACGCTGCGACTAATACGAGCGCAGAAACAGCGGGAATTGTGGAGAAAACGGGGAAAAATATAAATCTTTGTAGGTTTCCGTTGCGTAAGCTGCGAAAACCATTCGATACCCAAAAAATTTTGTATTAAAGAATAATTCATCTTTAAATTATCTAAAAAAAATGTCCGCAACAGTATACATGTATCTTTTAAAAAGTCACAATGGGACGCGGACGACGTCGTGGGTAACAGCATAGATTTATAGAATTTAACAGAATGAAATCTATAGAATGGTACCAATTTTGATGCCCAAAATAACTGTTTCTTCTGTAAAAATCACTGTTAGTTCTGTAGATTCTGTCCGGACGAAGTCGCTGACACAACTAGTTTCTCATAATATCACAGATAACATAAGCCTTAAAACTGTACTAACATTATGAAAATACAATATGTGACCAAAACCTAAAAATCGAATTACGTGATGAAACCATGATTCCAATTTAAGAGATAGTTAATAATATATATTTGTATTTATAATATAAATGCGGATGTTGGTAATTAGTTATTTTGATTACAGTATTAGTATTAAAAAGTATTACTTTATTAACTCTTGGAATGATTCAATCAGCTTAAAAATGAATGAAAAATTACTAAAAAGATTAGAACTTACTTAGAAGACTGTTAAACTTGCGTAAATAAGGAAAATTTTTAATACGATTTGCAAGTAAAAATTTGTATAAACACAAAGTGTATATGTCGTTCTGTCGCGTGGTTTATTTTAGTTCGATCATGTATGATGAGCATTTATGCAAAAATTTAATGTAACAAACGTACATTTGTCAAAAACTTAATTTTCTTTCAACAATCTACTAAAATAAGCTACTATATAGAAGTATATATTCGTGAAAACGTAAAGACTGACTTCAAACATAACTTTAACATTCAAGTAAAAAAAAAACATACCTGTGCAATAGTTCGAACAATCCACTTCACTTCACTTCTGCACAGCAACTACCACTTACCACCACCACAATCCGATTACCACACAAGAGATTGTTACTTAACTGCTCATTGATTTCATATAATATGAGAATCTATCCTGCAAGTTCTAAAACCGGGCGTTTTAATGACATACATTTTAGACTCACAAGGAACAAACAAATTTCTTCTAAATTATCTTAATTAATTCATCGTAAATTCGCGCTCGCGATAAAGTAATTCAGTTGTACGAAGTGAAATAAGTAAACATGATTTATGCTATAATTGTGACCTCTTCCACATAAATAGGACTTGAATAGTTTTCGAAATATAAAATTAGCTTAATGGAATCATAATAATTATGCAAGTCACCATTAACGGCTATTGACCCAATTAGATAATTAAGTTGCACAGATAAATTATAAGCTAGGTATAAAAGTGGGTTACAGAAATTGAATGTGCAACCGTAATTTTCACTTAATTTTACTATTTTTACACAAGTATACATAACATAAGATTATTGCTAAG